GAGGGAGAGAGTGAGGGAGAGAGTGAGGGAGAGAGTGAGTGAGGGAGAGAGTGAGGGAGAGAGAGAGGGGGGTAAGGAGGCAGAGATAAAGAGGAAAAAAGGGGGGCGAGCGTGGGGCAAATTAAGGCAAAATAGGCGCGACCTAGCGGATGAACGGACATCCGATTTTTATCTCCTTTTTATTTTTCATCCCTTTTCCTCAGTCGAGGGAGGGCGCGGCGGCACGGCAAGCCAAGGGCGGACAGGAGAAAGGGAAAGGCAAGCGGGGAGAGGGGGCTGAGCGCATTTCATTGCCCAGGTCGTCTTCCGCGGGCCCGCAATGTAATGCCCGCCATGGACCCCTCTCCTCTCCTCTCTCTCTCTCTCTGCGAGAGCGGCTGGCTGACAGGCTTGACCCAGGTGGCCCAGGTGGCCCCCGGGCCGGGGGCGGCCCCCCAGGCCGAAGCAGGCCCCGCGGCCCTGGCGGCCGGCCTGCCCGGATGAGAAGCGACTTTGGAGGGCATCGGGCATTAGTCAAGCCGACAACATCAGGTGGCCCTGTAGCTCCCCCTCCCCCTCCCCCACCTCCAAATCCCTACTACCCCCTGCACCCTTTCTCTCTCTCTCTCGCACTCGCTGATCCCGCCAGCTTCACCACGCCCCCGGCTGATTGTGAGGCCGACTGGAACAACGAATGACCCTCGGCCGGGCCACGAGGCCTCGGCCACGAGAGGCCTGGCAGCGATCATTCAGTTTCGTATATATATACTTTTTTTTCTCGTTTTAATCGCCACCACAAATTCCAGTAGGTTTGGTTCCATGGCGTGTGACCGAGGCCGTGCATGTGCGGGGGCGTGGGCAAAGGCTGGGCTGATCACGATACCCCCCGCGGTGGACCCATCGCACAGGTGGTGCGATTAAGCCGCCCCGCACCCGCAGCAGGATGGCGTCAAAAACACATCTGCGCAAAAACACCACCACCTTTGCGTCGTTTGCATTTGTCGTTTGTTATTATTCTAAAGCTAGGGAGGAGGGAATTGACGAGCAGCAGAGCGCGTGACGAGCAGATTCAAATCAGCGTCATGAAACGCGGGAGGTTTCATTTCTGGACGGAGCACAGCGCTCCCTCCTCGGGCCGGGGCGGGCGGGGGAGAGAGGGAGGGAGTGAGATGGAAGGAGAGAGGGAGAGGGAGATGGAAGGAGAGAAGGAGAGAGAAGGAGAGAGAGGGAGAGACAGGGAGAGAGAGGGAGAGGGAGAGACAGGGAGAGAAGGAAAGACATAGGTTGAGAGAGAGAGAGAACGAGAGACAGAGCAAAAGGGAAAAGTATTGACTTCACCTACCTACCTCCACTGCTGCT